ACGCAATCCGCCGCATCCCAATACCGTGTTCGGAAAGAAAATGACGTGTATACGAAACCCCTAAAGGGAATAAATACAAGATGGGAAGAAAATATATATTTCAATATTTTCTTTCACAGTTATATCATTAGGTAATTATACTACATATACAGTATATTTCGGGCATCAGGGAGCCGCTATTATACCTGACATTGAAACTGTGCTTTTGAATGCACAAAAGCATTAAAAAAAAATCACTTTTTAGTTTCGCTTTCACTTTCGAGATTCGCGATCACACGTACTCTGTTTATACTATGGAGCAGCAGTACTTACCACACATTTTTACAAGATTAGATGTTTGTCAGTGGTGCTGAGGATCTGCAAATCATTCGCCATCGTCCTCACTCATCTCTCCTTACTCTGTTTATGTGGCAAGTGAAATTTTATGTACTGCAATGTAACAGGCAACCGTTACACCGTGTCTACACCGGACGCGACAGTTGTCGTGTCGTGCCACGCCGCATCTACACTGTATGCGACAAAGCGACTGTTGAAAATCATTTGAAATTTGTGTCAGCACGTCATAAATAGAACGCGGCAGCAGTTTACTGTTGGGGATTTGTCGTGACGCGCTGCATCCAGTGTAGACAGCATCACTGATTATAATGAGTTCTATACACAGATCTATATATAATGAATCTCTATTATAGATCAGTGGTTCTATAGTATTTTATCACCCCGCTCACGTCCGGTGTAGACACGGTGTTAGGAATAGTAATTTGTTTTCTGTGCCATATAAGGATTGACGCTTCGGGCACACCCCCTAACTCCAACCAGCACCATGTGATGATGTCATTATGTCAGATTCAGTTAGACCTATTGGACTGCGCCATCTAGAGTTTCATATATTTGGCACTCATTTAAAGGAGTAACCCAAAAATTAACAATAGAACAATAAAGATTTTTAGCTGAAACCGTGGTTCTTGGTGAAAAAAAATTGTATACAAGTTGATTTTTAAAACAATAATTTAATAATACTGTTAAATGACAGTACCGGCCTTCCTACATACTATACTCTGACTGTTCAACACCATTCTGATCCAGACAGCTGAAACAGCCCTTTAAAAAGCACTTTAAAGTGCTCTCGACTACATCGCATAATGCTCTTCTTGATCATATGACGAAATACTGAATAAGGGCAGATTTTTGAAGTGTCTGCTGTCATAAGAACTAGTGCAGTGCTTCTGGTTTGAAATTTGAACCACCTCTGAATGATTTTGTTGCAGCTCTGCTACGATTACAAGCTCACCCCAGTTTCAGATCAGAGCAAGATCCCATGTCACTGTGGAGCCGCCAACTGCCGCAAGTGGATAAACTAACAAGGAGTGACACCAACAACAACTCAAACAACTCTGAGGTGCCAATTTACCAGAGGAGACGTGCAAAGAGGAAACAGCCAATCCTGGAAGTTGTCGTAACGGGCGATCATTTTTTTAATGTGCAAAACTAAGAGGAAAACACAACGTGAGAATACAGCATTGTGTGAGAGCCATTCGTATCATTTCTTGACTTGAAAGGAAAAGGTTCTGTTATGTGCATGTGCCATGAGTCTGTGTGTGTCTGTGTTTGTCAGCTCGAATGCGTGTGCGTCACACGGGGCAGATTTCACCAGCGAATGAGGACGGAGAATGAGCGCGAGCACTGTGCCGGGTATTGCCTTATAGGTTGATGGAGGGGCAGGCCCATCTGTATGACGAGATCTGTAGAGACTGAACCGTAGAAATCAATGTAGAACATCACTGAAGAATGTACGGAATTGACTTCCGCAAAGGGAAAAAAACATGTTGCACTAAAAAAAAGAAAACAAAAAAGAAACAGAAAACAAAATGAAAAAAAAAAAAAAAAAATCAAAATACTTGATTCCATGAGTCAGTTTTATCCTAGATATCTCTCATTGTTTAGTGTAAGAAAATAAAGGTGTTTTGTATTTATTACTGTGTGAGTGAATGAATGGGCTTATTTTTAAAAGCGGTTTTATGCCGCTCAAAAGGAAGCCCGACTGCGATTCTTGCACGCAGTTTGAGATTGTTACATCTGTAAATACAGTGTAAATATAGAGAAATATCGGAATGATTGACCAAATACTACCTTATTCACTACCTTATTCATATTGATGTTCAGATATTTTAGATGTGCTGTTTTGTTTTGTTTTGCTTTTTTTTCTCCTTTCTTTTCCTCTTCGGAATTATTTAACAAAGACACATCATGATACCACGTGTACACGTATAATTACGAAACTAGAGAATTACAAAGGTGATTTCACAAGAAAAGTATTTTCTCTGTGCTTAGGATGTGGCATTTGTAGTGACTTTGTGGTTTATACATTATTGCTGACCATTTTGTTGGTTTTCATTAAATTTTATTCCATTTTATGTTACGGATAGCAGCGACACGGAATTCAAAATCTAGTAAATCAGGTGGGATTGTAGATGTAGGGATAACTGTGAAATGAACTTTAAACCTCAGAAACCGATTCCGAGATCACAAGCGTAACCTGAGAACAGGCACAAGTAGATCATGCTCATTTTTTATAAAGGCTGTCGTATGGATTTTATAAACCTGCAATGTCATTGTGCAAGAACGAGAAGACGTTTGATTGAGAAGCTTGCTTGTTGGAGACGGTATGAGCGGGAATCGGTGGGAAAGAAGGGTCAACGTAACTCTGAAAATTATGTACATATGAAAAACATATGCTTGTATTAGTTTTATTGATTGAAGTGAAGCATCTGTTAAGAGAGCGCTATTCATTTTGTAGCCTAAAACTGTTTTTCACATTTCACATGCCTTGTTATTTCAATTTGGGAGTTTCTGTGTGCACAATTTCACGTTGAAAATGGACAGTTTAGACTTTGTATTGTACTGGGCATGAATTTTTTCAAAAGAGTCAGTTGTATATATTTTTTCTCAATGAACAGCTGTAACAAAATTGTTTCATGGATATTTTCCTTGTCTTGTAAAATACATCAATTTCCTAGTGTTTTTTTCTTTTCTTTTCTTTTGCTCTGTATAGTAGTCTAAATTGTTTTGGAAACTGAAGCTTTTTTGAAGTACACAGAGCGATATAGGGTTTGGTATTTGAGGAATTGAATTTACATTTACAAAAAAATAATAAAATATTTTACATCATTAATTGATGCACAACTTCTTTTCTTCTGGTAATGTGTTGCTATTTTTGAAGTTATACTTGAAGAAACATTACGACTATTTCAGTGTTGTTTCAGAATGTTAAATATGAAAAATGCTTGAAATGTCATTCCTTCGTTTAAGAATTTAGGTGATGCGTTGTTTTACTCTGTTTTCTAAAGACATTTTCACACCAAATGGCACATGAAAAACATTTGGAAACAATACTATTTTACATTTGAAATATTTAACCCTAGATTATTCTAAACCTGGGTAGAGGGAATCCTGGTCACGTTTCACACTTCTCATAATTTACCCGGGGTTAATTGATCCTGAATTTTTATAAAAGGACGTTTAACATTACATTCTTAAACCTTGGGCTAACCATAGATAACCTATGGGGTTAAAGTTCTTATTTGCATATTTGCAGTGTCAGTGTCATTGATTGGACGAGTGGGGCACGTGACCTGTTTACATAACGGCTCTGGCATTGCGCATCCTCTATTACATACTGTACTATCAAGGTTTTCCTGAAGGAACATTTCGGACTACACAGGTAAGAATGAAACGTCTCTTTTCATTCCAATTGATGCGTTTTCAGTTACCACTTGCTATTTTCTCCCTCAAACATCATTTATACCAGTGGTTCCCAACCCTGGTCCTGGAGGCACCCCAACACTGCACGTTTTGCATGTCTCCTTAAAGGGGTCATATGATGCTGCTAAAAAGAACATTATTTTGTGTATTTGGTGTAATGAAATGTGTTTATGCGGTTTACAGTTAAAAAAACGCATTATTTTCCACATACTGTACATTATTGTTTCTCCTCTATGCCCCGCCTTCTGAAACGATTTTTATAAAGCTCATCAGTCTGAAAAAGTGAGGTGTGCTCTGATTGGCCAGTTATCCAGTGCATTGTGATTGGCCGAATACCTCAAGCGTGAGACGGAAATGTTACGCCCCTCACCATACTGTGTTGATGCCGTGTCCGGCCGGAGCAATGACACAAAAACATGAAAACCCATTACAAACGAGGCATTTGTTGCATCCAGTGGGGACATAATTACTGATTATAATGACTTATACGGTCTTTTTACGC